TTTTGTGGGAGCTTGGAATCAAAGGGATTTTTGTGATGAGACTCGAGGGAAATACGAGTGTTGTGCTCTTGGTGGAGGGGGTAGCCTGATCCTGAGCATTCCCGGAGCTCCCCACTGCCCTCTCTGGGAGTGGGGTGTTCAGGCTGGACATCAGGAGGAATTTCTTCGTGGGAAGGGTTGTTAAAAGCTGGAAGGGGCTGCCCAGGGAGGTGGTGGAGGTGTCCAGGGAAGGACTGGCCGTGGCACTCAGAGCTCTGGGCTGCGGGACAAGGTGGGGACGGGCCACAGGTTGGATTCCACAGCCTTGGATGGCTTTTCCAACGGGATGATCCTGTGATTTTTGGCAGCAAAGCCCTTTATTCTCCTCAATATCCGAAGGGGGGGGGGTCACCCCCATCCCTACGACCCTACAGGGTCGAGGGTTGTGTGTTACTGTTTCAATCCTTTTCTCTATAAACACGGAGGGAAAAAAAAACCAGCCAAGCCGGCGGCTTGTGTTGCTCCAGCCTCCGAGAACCACTCTCTGAGTTCTGGGATTGGAGTTCTTTTGCAGTGTTACATTTTTATCCAGATTTATTCATGCAGAACAGAGGCGCGGGGCGAGTCGCCCTGCACCGGGGAGCGCTGCTATACATAAGAATGCTCCTTCATTTACATCCTCCCTCCCTTTTCCCCACAATTGAACTATTCGGGGTTATTTTTATTCCTTGAGTGTTTTTTTTTTTTTTTTTAATTTTATTTAAAAAAAAAAAAAGGTGGGGGGGAAGGGGAGGAGGGAAAAAAAAAATCCACCCGTCTAAATTCACCTTATTTTTACTTCTATTAAAATTTCCCCTCCGGAATTTTTATCAGCCATAAAAATGAGGCACATGAGTGAAGCTTCACCCGAGGGGAGAGCCGAGGCCCGGGGATGAGGGGGAGGAATGTGTTTTGGGGCAAAGAGTAAGTTTATAACTATTTTTCTCTTAACTGGAGCAGTTAGCTGCACTGCAAGCCATTCATCTTCTGATTTAATAACTCATTCTCCCTGTGAGATGGGGTATTATAGCCCTGGATATTGCTTTTCTTGGGATCCAGTATCGAAGATGAGCCCACTTTTTCTAATAAAATGCGTTTTCATTCTAATTGAAATAATTTTCTGCTCCGTGCTTTCCCCCTTTATTTTGGGCTCTAAGCTCTGCTTTCCCTAAATCCCCCTTTCTGGCCTGGCATTTATTCATTTCCCTTCCCAAATGCTGGAAATACAACTCCCTCATTTCCCCCCATCCCAGGGGAGCTCGTGTGAGGGAGAAGTGCTGCTGTTTGCCTGGGGCTGCCTCTAATCAATTAATAAATCAGATATTATATAATATATAGTATATTCTGCTTCTGGGGGGGGAAAGGGGAGTCTTCCCTGCTGCTGGATGGACTTTTGGGGCACCAAAGAGGGGGTTTGTGACCATTTTCCCCCTTTTCTGTCGCTTTTTTAGCAGCAATCCCTCCCCTGGAGGAAACATTTCGGTGCCTCTGGGGTGTGATGAGTTTGCAGGGCCCCGAGGAAGGGCCGGGGCAGGCAGGGTTTGGAGCCGTGGAGGTTTTCCTGGGAGCAGAGGTTTTCCTGGGAGCAGAGGGAGCTCTCGGCTCGCGGCTCCGCCGCTTCCCTGCGCCGCCTCGCCGGGGTTAACATCCTGAAACAAAACTTCTCCCTTTCATGTTCCCCTCGGCCCGACTGTCTCTTAACTAATCATTTGATCTCGGCATCTCCTCGAGAGAGAGAGGAGGTCGGGAATTAATGGGAAGGAGGAATTAAGCAGAGGATCAAAGCGGCTGCGTCGCGGGGCTGCGTTTTTGGGGGGATCGTGGTGGCTTTAGGGGGGGACACGGGGGACACTCAGGGTGGCAGCTCCTCATTCTCCATGTCCAGCTCCTCGTGCTCCATGTCCAGCTCCTCATGCTCCGTGTCCAGCTCCTCATTCTCCATGTCCAGCTCCTCGTGCTCCATGTCCAGCTCCTCGTGCTCCATGTCCAGCTCC